ATGAGAAACCACTTTGAAGATATCAATATGTAATACAACAAGCATTGTTAATTCCCTACCACTCTGTTTGTAACTCTGTACTGTCTGTACTGATCCTTTGCTATTTTGTAAAATGTTGTCTGTCTGTTAGTATTTTCCTCCTTTTATTTCTAAAATTTAAAAAAAAATGTAAACACCATAATTTCAAACAGGATAACATTCGCCTAGTACCATGCTTCACACTTCAACATACAGTCTGAATTGGCACAATTACATTTCTATCAGCAGCCTGACATCAATTAGAAAATGTGGCTTGCATATGGGAAGTCACGAACTCATGTCGAGTCTCAGTCATATTTCACAAATGTTTGTGTTTGTAGTGGGTGTGACTTGCAACATTCACATGAATAGCCATGGAGGTTCGGGGCTGGGGATTTAGCTCAGCGGCAAAGCGCCTGCCTGACAAGTGCAAGGTTGTGAGTTCGGTTCCCGGTACCAGAGGGAAAAAAAAAAAAAAATAGACATGGAGGTTCTTTTAAAATACCTTTAATTGTATTTTTATTTAACAAATAATTTCAATATATTATTGCACAATCATGCACTTAATGTAAAATTACTATTGAGGTATTATACATTACATGTTATTTCCTAAATTTTTTTATAGTTCTTTGGAGATTTTTAGTTGCATTCAATTTATATTATTTACTAGCTTCTTTTCAAATGCTAATGAAGACTGCATCCCAGCATCATCTAAATCGAAAAAGATATTTTCTGTACAATTATAAAATTTTGTTTTTAAAATCTGGGTTTACAAAATTACTCATAGTAATTAAGTTCTGCTACAACTTGAAAGTTTTACCTATTACACATGTGTCACATTTTAAGACAAAACTGATGCACCAATATACAGTAGACTCCATCTTAACACTGGGATCCACTTTCTGTGCTGAACAAAAATTGTTACAAATGCAAAATGACAAGTATTCCACCACTTTAATATCATGCAGTATAATTTTCCCATGCAGGAAATTCTATTTCCTTTGCGTCCCTCTTATTCATTATTTTGAGTGGCAAGAGATTGTTGCTTTGCTTGAGGATGATCAAACAAAAGATTTCTCACTCACAATATTTACTCATAAACCTTTATTAATTGCCAAACTCAGGGGTTAGGAGTAGAAACAGACAATCACAACATATTCATCCATGAATTTAAGATATTGGAAAGCACTAAGGAATTGGGAAAAGGACCAAACAGGGTGCACGAGGCTGCTACTCCTTATCCAGGCCTGTGGATTGCAGAACGCATGCATGCTCCTGTCTGAGCACAGGCTTTACCACCATTGCCATGAACACCTGACACTGAACTTCTAGTTTCTAGCAACATCCCGAATGGCCAAGCATAAGCTGAGACACAACGTGCCCAAGAAAAGATGGCCTGGGATGTTGCTGTGAGTGGGCTTGGATGAAAGCACGGTGCCTCTAGGGGGAGAGAATGGTGTTCAGATATAATTGCAACTTGATTTTTTTCACCTGAACCCCAGACCTCAGCCCAGAGCTCAGGAGGGAAATGGTGGTAAATTTCTCCTGGGTCATTTTGGAGGATTGGCTGAAAGGAGTCAAGGGCATAAGTGTGAGCACCTGAGTCAAAAACAACACACACACACACACACACACACACACACACACACACACACACACACACACACACACGCAATTTACCTGGCTGAACCTGCAGGTTTCCTCCTCACACAGACTTAAATCTTTGCCCACACGTTGAAGATGTCCCCATTGATTGCTGTATTCTTTCTCCTGCAGCGTGCTCTCCTAGTGTGTAATTTTGAAAATGAACCCTGCCTTCACAGAAGGAGCACAAGTGTCCACAAGGATGGAGACGTGCTGATTGGGGGACTCTTCTCCCTTTTTAATTATTTCTATAGTGGGGGTTTCTTTTTTCTGCAGCCCATGAAGGACGTCTTCATTGTACCGTAAGTATCCACCTCTGTATTCATTTCCTTTTGGATTACCAGGATGAATAATTCGTAAGGATCTGTAAATGAGTAAATCCGTGTGGTCCATACTCCTGCCCTGTCCTTCCCACCTACGGATGCACAGCCATGGTCATAAAGTATTTTGAATTTCTATGCTTCCTCACTTTTTGAAAGTGGGAAGATGTTTTTATTTTCCTAGCCTCCTGCTTTCAGGCTTGGAAGCTGATGAAGACACCGGTCTACCTCGTTTCAGGGTGCATGGGCTTCCTCCCCACCGAGCCGCCACTGCATAGCGCATGAAGTGATGCTCCTTAGAAACGTAATCCAAGACATTGTTTGGAATTCAGTGCCAAGCAGCTACAGCAACATATCCCCTTCATACAATCCAGGGTCTTCTAGTGTTCTTAAAATAATTTGTGCCAGCCAGGTGTGGTGGTACACATCTATAATGCCAGCACTCGGGAGGCTGAAGCAGGAGGATTGCCATGAGTTTGAAGCTAGCCTGGGCTGCGTGGTGAGTGCAGGCTAGCCTGAGCCACATAGCAAAACCATGTCTCAAAAAAAATAATGTGTACCATTCCTCATATCACTATTATCACTTATATACTTATACCACTCCTTATATCATTGTCAAAGAGAACTCTACCATAGGTATTCAGTTATTTTCAAATACTGTGTATGTCAGCACTTGTACCTTATATGCTCCATGACTCTTGGGCCTGCAAGCCAGGGCAGAAGAGAGGAATAATTCATCTCTGAGGTTTTTACCCTCCAATTTGATTTTCCTTCACTGGGGCATGTGTACATTCTGTGTTTTCAGTATCATCACAACCGTTCTGTAGCCAAATGCATACAGTGCACTTTGCAAAGTGTCAGGATTCCAGAGGATGACTTGTGCCCCATGAGCAGAGGGGCTGTCACTGAGCAGGGACTGATTGGCTTTCATAAGATGCTGAAGGCACAGGTGCTCCCGTGGCAGCTGCCCATGTTCGGAACCAGGGATGACAGAGTAAGAGATCTGGGCTTATTTCTTCCTTAGACTGCAGCTGTCCTTACCTCATATTTCTTATAGTGTCCAGATGCATCAGTACATTTTTGTGCCTGGACATTTTCCCCATGTTTACATAGTTTTGCAACAAGGTCTTGTTACACTGCCTAGCATACCAGCAATATCCTGAGCTTATGTATTCCCTCTACCTCAGCCTCCAGAGCAACTGGCAGTATAAGCATATATCATCATACATGGCATGTGTTTTCTTCTTTATATAATTTCCTGTGTTACCTGCTGTCATTACTTATATATTTAATTTATGTTCTTAGATTCCAGTAGATGCTCTCGAGTGTTGTTTCTGAGTCAGTGACTAATTACCAGGATGTTTTGGTGGCTGACTCAGAGTAGTTTATTGTGAATCTCCTGAACTGTGCTTAGAAATGCTCACTGCACTTATTGGAAACTTCCAGGATTTTATTTAACCAGGGCATAACAATTATCATCGGGATAGCTGCAGTGGGGCTTCACACTGGGAAAGGAACTCTGCAGCACATTCTTTAAGCTGCATGGGCCAATGGAACATGAAAAGAAATTTTGGAAAAGAAAAATATTTACATATATAAAGTGACCATATTACAGCTGATTGTACACAAGTTGTTTAGTTGCTAAGATTTTTCTCTGTTTTTAAGTTAGACAGTTTGAGACTTGTCAATAATAGTCACATGTTTGACACCTAAATATTTCATTAATGTATGTTACAATTGTTCCCCATTCTTATACACATTTTAAAATAGAGAAAACTTGTTTTCACAAGTGGGTTTAGCTCTGTGTCAGACAAGGATGTTAAAATCTTTAACTTATGATAATACATTATGACATGTAATATTTTAATCATGAATCAACTTTATCTTCTTTAATACTCTGCCTGCAGATATGTACCAAAAAAACAAGCTACTGCCACAAGACTGGATATTCCTCAGCTTTTCAGTTTTAAATAAAGCAGATGTTACAAGTCCACAGTCTGATATCTTACCCATTGAGTCCCCAACATTACATGAAGATGTTAATATCTTGTCACAAAGTTTGTATTAACTAATTATAATTTAATATTTTTCATGATAGTTAGAAAGAAACAAAGAAAGAAAGAAAGAAAGAAAGAAAAAGGAAATGTATGCTCCACTTATAACAGTATAGAAGGTCAAACTAGGACAAAGAAAAATTAAGCAGGAGTTTACATATTATAATATTTTAAGATATTCATAAACTAAAGTAGACAAGAGAGAAATGGATTTTCTGTGGATGATAATGAGGAGCAGGAAGATGTGTAGGAAGATCAAGAAAGAGAAGAAGACAGCACAAATGGGAGAATGTGTGCCTCCTACTGAGGAATTTCAGCAACAGCATCTCAAAGAAATCATAACTCTGCACACTAACATCTTAAAATTAACAAGTCTAACTGAGTAGGTACATACAGGCATCTATAGCTGACAGTGAAGAAGGCACGTTCTGGGCTCCGGCGATCAGAGGGCACTTGTCGTGCATGTCGGGCCCAGGGTTTGGTCTTCACTACTTTGCACACAACAAGAACACACGCTTTTATCGTGCACACAGGGAGCATTAGCAAGATATGAACATGAACTATGCAGTTGACAAAGAATCAACACATGACAACTAAAATTAATACAAAGAAATATAGACTTGTATTCTTTTCTTTATTTTAAAGAATAAATGACAACAAAGCAGTAGGGGGATACACCGAATTACAGACAAAGTGGTAGGACATTATCAATGGTTATTTTACCTATTGGTATCTTCAAGATAGTTTCTCAGGAAAACAAATAGACAAATAATAGTGAGTTACAGACAGAAATGGCAGGAAATTATCAGTGGTTGTTGTACTATACCCTGGTTTCTCCAAAGTGGTCTCTAGGGAAAACAAATAGAGCTATACATGAGTGATCAATCAAATAATCATTGACTATTCTCAATGGTTGTTGTTGCAAACATATAGTAGCAAAAGTACATTCATTTACGAAATAGCATAGGAACAGTACAAACATTACAGAGTTATGGGCAGATTGGTGGGAAATCATCAATGGCTGCTGCAATACATGTTGGCGTCCTCAAAGTGGTTTACTCAGGAAATCAAAGATATGCAAGAAAGATCCAACAAGTAGTTACAGCCCAAGGGTTGCAAAAAATAGCGGGTTATCTCCTCATCAGTGACTCCCCTCACTGAGGTGTGAAGGCTGGAAGGAAGGCCAGAGCTGAAAAGAAGGACCGAGAGACCAGCACCAATGTCCAGCAGCGGGCCGTCCACTTTCCTCTATAGTCATGATTTCACGGGGCTCCTCCTTCTCCATGAAGGCAGTTCTACAGAATCTGAATATTGGGCCCCCATGTAATCCATGAAGTCCCAGTGCAGACCTCTCCGGAGCTCCACTTGCTCCTCCACTGCAACCCGCACAGTTAGGGGGAGAATGGCCTCCAGGGGGTCTCCCCAGGTGTTTCACAAGGTCCTCCTGGTCTCCAGCTCCCGAATGGCTCCCGTGTCCTCAGTCAGCTCGACCTCTGAGTCGTCGGGCGTCGGTATTCCCCTGTTCTCCGAGTCCTTGTTTAGACTTCTATTCTTGAAGAAGCTTCAAAAATCAAAAAAATAAAAATGTAAGAAGTCGCTAACTGGAAACTCTGTATTCAAAATTGTAGGACAGGTCGTGATAATAGTAGTATTTTGGGTAAGTGCTGTAGATGACAGTTTTTAATTGATTTTTTTCATTGATTTTTTATGTTTTTAACGTTTAAAAGATTAATAAAAAATTTGAGGAACTGTTGTTGAGTTTTGTAGAATCCTAAGAGTTTCCAATTTTCCAAGGCTTCATGCTTCTCTCACATATCCCTGGATTTTCATAAAGCTTTCTCTTTATGCTCAGAAGTTGACATAATCTTCATAGTTTTTGCTGGTGGATGTAAACTTTGATGCAGCAGATATAATTTAATTTCAATCCTTCTGCTACACCATAAGGTTCCATAAATATTATGTTTCTTTGTTTCTTACAGATATTTCATTTATTATATTCTTTCTCTTCACTGATATTTCCAAATTCAATACATCATTGTTATAAAATGAAGTGCTTACTGAGTGCAATTATTTTAGTTCTTGATACCAAAGAACCTTACAAAGCCCAATTGTGTATCATCTCTCCATATTTTAAAATTTCCTCCATATATATGGAAATTGGTGAAATCCTTCCAGATACAATGGTGTGTTATTCGTCTAACTGTAGTCTCTAAGACTTCTTTCAAAGACAGAATTAATTTCTTGGTTGTTTAACCTTACTTAGGATATTATCTTAATTCAGTTTGCTGTATAAAAATATACTGCAAACTGGGTGTCAGAAATGATATTCATTTACTTTTAACCATTATGGTTCAGACAGCAAAAGGAGCATTTGCTTCCTAGTTTATTAGTGACATTCTTGCCAGTGTGTCCCCACATAGCAGAACAATGAAGTAATTGTAACTGAACTCTGTAAGGACACTAATCTCATTCCTGAAAAACCCCCCTTCAAGGCTTCACTGAGTCCAGAGTAATTCCTTAAAGCAATACTTCGAATGCTGTCATTTGTATGGCTAGGTTCTTAGCAAACGAATACGGGAGAGGAAGTGAGCATTCAGCTCATAAACGGTACTGCACGGACTGGAAGATAATCGCAGATTCTTTTCCATAAGGACCTGTGCTCTCTTTGCAGGCACACGCTCAACAGCTACCAGAATTTCCTGGCCTTTGTTTTCGCCGTAGAAGAGATCAACAAGAATCCTCACCTTTTACCCAACGTGTCTCTGGGCTACGAGTTCCATAATTTCCTGTACAGTCATTGGAAAACACTGGAGAGTTCCCTCACTCTGCTCACAGGACAGAATGGAACCCTTAACTACAGCTGCCGGAGAAAGAGCACGGCCGTAGCAGCGCTCACAGAAACATCCTGGGCAGCTTCCTCTCAAGTGAGCACGCTGCTGGAGCTCTACAGATTTCCGCAGGTGAGGGCGGGCGAGCCGGGGAACAGGAGCGCGCCTCGGGCTCAGGGTGGAGGGAGGCTGGTCTGTGCACCTTCCGAAATGTGCCGTCCCCGACGTGCACAGACTCGGCGGGCTACTCGCAGTTTGTCTGCAGCAAAGCGAGTGGGGAGAAGCAGACAAAAACGTTTCCAAGACATGCTTGTCTGGAAGTTATTTTCAGAAAGCCTTTAGAGAGTGAAATAATTAGAAACACTAGAAAAACAGGTACGTCTTTTAACCCCTTCTGGCTATTAGCGCCCTCCACGCCTGAGAAAGTGCTTTCTGTCATCACACTTCCTGTGTGCCTTAAATTCCCTTTTCCTTTAGGTGACCTTTGGCTCCTTTGATCCTGCGCTGAGAGACAGTGGCCAGTTCCCTTCTCTGTACCAGGCGGCCCCCAAGGACACGTCCCTGGCCCTCGGCATGGCCTCCTTGATGCTTCAGTTCCGCTGGACCTGGGTGGGCCTCATCATCACAGAAGGCCACAGAGGTTTTCGGTTCCTCTCAGATGTGAGAGCAGAGATGGACAGGAGCAGAGTCTGTGTAGCATTTGTGAAAGTGGTCTCAAGTGCTTTCACATCGTATTTCTTCAGACCAAAGCAGCATGATATCATAACCAGGGAAACGTCACCAGCGAACGTGGTTATCATCTATTATGATACAGAGGGCCTCAATGACATAAACTACCTTATAGGGCAAAGTTTAGTGACATGGAAGGTCTGGGTCACAAACTCACAGTGGCGTGCAGACGTGGGTGGAAGAAATTTCATTCTTGACTTGTTCCACGGGACCCTCATATTTTCAAACCACCACGAGGAGATTTCTGGTTTCAAAACTTTTGTCCAAGCAGTGAGCCCTTTCAAGTACCCAGAAGACACTTACCTCACTATGTACTGGTTCCAGAATTTCCGCTGCTCCTTCTCTGACCTGGACTGTGCGCTGCAGGACTGTGCCCCCAATGCCTCCCTGGCACGGCTGCCTGTGAACCGTTTTGATCCGGAGATGAGTGACGAGAGCTACAACACGTACAACGCCGTGTACGCGGTGGCCCACGCCCTCCACGAGATGCTTCTACAGCAAGCGCAAGGGCCGCCGATAGGAAGTGGGGAGTCCTCCGTGTTTTCCCCGTGGCGGGTGAGGTGTCCTCTGATGCCATGTAGCGTTCGGGTGCCCTTCTTCCGTATTACACCTGTTCCTCACTGGGGAAGCTTAGAGCACTTGACCCACAAGTAGAGCCTTACTAACATGCTCATTGTTAAGGAGATGAACCTTGAGCTGTGTATAAATGGTTATTCCTCAAGGAGCCCTTAGAAAAGAGGAAGCTGATATGGGAAAAGATCATTGCCTTTCTTGAGGAGGTCAGTGTCTTGCCTAGGTGATACATTTACTGTAAAAATCTGAATGTTCTCCATGGAGTTCTTAAAGAACAGAAAACTATGTAGTCCTTCATGAGTGTAAATGGTGCTAAGCACTACCATGAAACATAAATTTTGGGCTGGAGATATAGCTCAGCGGTACAAGCGCTTGCCTGGCAAGTGCAAGGTCCTGAGTTCAATTCCTGGTACCAAAAAGAGAGAGAGAGAGAGAGAGAGAGAGAGAGAGAGAGAGAGAGAGAGAGAGAGAGAGAGAGAGAGAGAGAGAGAGTCCTCGTCAAGTAAGAGCATTCCTTAATTCACATTTCTCTTAGTCATGGGTGCCATTCCTCATAGGATGTGTTCTTTTAGCTGCACCTCTTCCTGAGGAACATTCAATTTAACAGTCCTGCTGGAGAGCCGATGAATTTGGATGATGATAAGAAACCAGACGCAGTGTATGACATTCTCAACTTTTGGAATTTTCCAGATGGCCTTAGACTTAAGATCAAATTAGGAACATTTACCCCACATGGTCCACACAGCCAGCAATTATCTTTATCTGTTGAAATGATCGAATGGGTCACAGGAATTCCAGAGGTATGTTGGACATAATCATAATGCTCACTATTAACCAATAATAACCAAAACATTATTATAGGCTCTATGTCTCCAGTTTTTTTACATGACATGGGCAATTATGGCAAATAAACAACATAATTCTTAATTTAAAAATGTTATTATTTACCAGTATTCCAATGTAATAAAAAGCAAGACATCCATTTCACCACATTTGATAAATATTTGTATATTTCTTGTTAAATGTGACATATATGTATGTAATTTTATTTGTGCATGTATATAAATTGTCCTTTAAGTTCTAGGAGCTATTCATCAGATTCCCAGAATTTACCAGTGTTATACACATATATTTTTTCATTAGGTTCCCAAATCTGTATGCAGTGAGAGTTGTAATCCTGGATTTAGGAAAACTCCTCAAGAGGGAAAGGCTGCCTGCTGTTTTGACTGCACCCCTTGCCCAGAGAATGAGATCGCCAATGCCACAGGTGAGAGCTTACTTTACGGACAGATTCTGCAACTTTCCTTTATATTCACCCCATCCATCCAGGAAATGGAATATAATCTTGCAGATGATAACACTGACAAAATTCTTTCTTCATTCAATTGGTAATCTATTTTTTTCTACTCAGTACTATTACCCCCTAAAATACAGTCTCTGTCTCTTGAATAACATGATTTATCTTTTTTAATTTAATCTTTTTCTATTTTAATTTCTTTTTTATACTTCATTCTTTTAAGCAGAACCACATTTTCACCTGGCAGCCCTCAGACTTGTGATCCTCCTATCTCAACAGACTGAGTGGCTGAGATTACAGTTTGCAACACTCTTTCTGCCTATTTTGATTCATTTTTTTTCAACTCACTGAAAGCATTATTTGCTCAAAGAAACACCTTTCTTCTATTCCACATTTTCTTTATGCCATCTTCATCATGAAGTTTCACAAAAAGTATCACTAAACAGTAGGAATCTGCACTATGTGAAGGTACATTTGGATTGCACTGACACAAGGCTCTAGCACATTCTTAATTTTCTGGTGCCTAGTACTGTTCTTGACACAAAGCTGATGCTCAGAGAGATTGTGTTTGGTTTGAGAGAAAGGTGTCTTTGCTTGACAACAAGCTTGCCCTAGTACAGTAGAACATTACTAAGATTTTATACCTTCACTCCCAGAGTTCATACAACAGTAGGGGAAATAACATACATTATTAATTACAGTTTGTGGCGCAGAGCTTCAGAATGATATGCATCCACACGAGGGGATTTTATAAGTGATGATGCCTACATTTTGGGTAGCGTGTTAGAGACATTTTCGCAGATGCCGTAGCATTAGTATTTTTTATGTTTAGATCTAAAATGTCTTCCAGATGGCCTGGGATATAGCTCAGTGGCACAAGTTCCTGCTTGGCAAGTGTGAGGTCCTGAGTTTGATTCCTGGTATCCAAAAAAAAAAGAAAAGAAAATATCTTGCAAATTTTTCATGTGTGTCAAAGGTCATTGAATCACAGGAGTGTGATACTCATCAGTGAGCTTATCTACTGATGAATCCCTAATTAAATGTGCAATTAGCATATATAAAGTACTAATATATCCCCATGCCTGAGTCTATCTATGAACACGATTTATATATATATATATAGAGAGAGAGAGAGAGAGAGAGAGAGAAGAATATACATTATATGTATTTCCCTGGAATGTAGCAAATTATATTGTTTTTTCAATAAGAGATTATTCATTGAATAATGTATGAGGGAGACATTCCAGAGGCTTGATTTAAATAGATAGGTCTTTCATTGCTTTGCAAAGACAAAAAAATGACTTTATGGATGTTAAAGTTAAGAGAATATAATACACTATTTACACACCATACAGAAATAGAAAGCATTAATTGGGAGATTTTGTCTATATAACATAACTTTCTTTGCTGTCTAAAAACCACAAAAAAACTTGGCCATAGTGGTGACCCCTCACCTTAGCACTCTGAGGGCTGAGGGAAGGGAGCGGAAGCTCGAGCACAGCCTGTGTATTAGTGAGACATTATTTCAAAATTGTAAAAGGGCAAGGAACACAGGTCAGTAACACACCCTAAACTCAATCCCCAGTACTAAAAAAGGAGAAGAGGAAAATTAAAATTAAGAAAACAGAGACACAAAAAAAAGGTCAGTTTGGGTAAAGAAACATTATGAGCTTCTGTGAGTGAGTCAGTGAGTAAGACAGAGAGAACAAAGTTGAACTAACGACAATTTAAATTTCTGTTAGACATGGAGCAGTGTGTGGAGTGTCCAGACCATCAGTACGCCAACACTCAGAGAAACCACTGCCTCCAAAAGTCTGTGACTTTCCTGGATTATCAAGCTCCCATGGGAAAGGCCCTGGCTGGAACAGCCTTGAGCTTCACTGTCCTCACAGCTGCTGTTCTTGGGCTCTTTGTGAAGCACCAACACACTCCCATCGTCAAGGCCAACAACCGGGCTCTCAGCTACACCCTGCTCATCTCCCTCACCTGCTGCTTCCTCTGCTCCTTGCTCTTCATTGGCCGGCCC